GGGTTACCCGCGATCGGTGCTAGACCTGTTCCTGACAGCAAAAAATAACGTTCAGTTAGAGTACTAGGCATTCCAACGACCTGTCAAACAATATGTGCCAGTGGGAAATTCTTGTATATCTAAGAGGGTAGCGACATAGTCTTGCAACTTGGACGCTATTTTTATTCGAAGTAGTAGTCGCCAAGCCTGCCAATTTATGAAGAAATGTATAGGTAAGTTTTTTAAATATTATTTTTATTGTGTTTGACATAAAATATTTAAATGTAATCCATTATTCCTGATTTTACGTAAAGTAGATATAATACACCGTATGTCGCCACCCTTAGATATACCAAACCTTCCCACTGGCAATTCATTTGTTTGGAATGCCTAACTGCTTGCGAGTAACCCAAATGACATAAAAGAACACTCAATGAATCTTACCTAATCCATCAAAAGAAAAATGATTTTCAGCTAATGTGTAATTTTAATTTTTTTCGTCTTTGGCATTTTGACTAGTGCTTTTTTCATGATGTCAACGCAACTAACTAAATTAATTAGATCTAGTTTCCAACCGATGAACCACCCACTCCCCATTTGTATATTATTATTTTTAAAATTGATTTTATTATATGCATTTATATCTGTCAAATCATGATTTATTGATATTACGTTTACAGGCATAATTCCTTAGTTCACATTTATTCAAATCACTGTAACGAATGGCAATTGACATGTGTGACAGATATTCATTGCGCAAACTCAGAATCCTAAATTTTGTATCTCCTCATCGGAACGTAGTTCTGTGGCAATAAATCTAAAAGCAACATTTTTTATTTATTTACATTTTTGTTTCTACAGTTGGACAAAAAATATGGTTTGCATTTCGTGGAAAAATGTGTTTTCGATTGCAGTTTTGGGCGAGACCGTAAGTCATGCTTATTCTTTATTCTATAGTTTCCATTAATTTATCTAACATCCCACGTATTTCGCTACTTAGTAAACAACAATCGGTGACAAGGTTAAAACTGCCACAATAATATTTGTTTTTTACCTGGATTATTGAATCTGTTGAATCTGTATGCATACAGTTTCATTCACGTACTGCAGTTTTTTCAATGAAAAAGCGATATGGACAAATCAACACTGTATAAATATCGTGCATTCATTATTACCTACATGTTTATTATTCAAGAAGAATATTATTATTCAACGTAATAAAATTACATAACCACTACGACTCGTGAATTGGGTTTTGCAATTTGCACTAAATAATTTCATCTTGTGGGCAGCAAATATTTATTCATTAATTTAAATATTGAAGGTTATTAAATATTGGATTATATTAATTTCGGCAGGGTTTGCCAGCGCTAATTCTTTAGGTAAATATTTGTTTTTCCGTTGTAAAACAAAATTACAACACGGTAATTTTTGTTAAACATCTGGTTGAAAGGTAAATAGAAATATTAAATACTAGAGAAGAAAAATACATGAACATTTAAGGCGGAAAACACACTAAAGAAAATCCCCTAGGGGGCCAGGAATTTACCGATGTGAAGTTAGCTGTAACTTTTAGCAGTAAAAATAACCAAAAACACCCGATCCAGTGACGTCCGATCTACAACTATTTTAATAATCTTATCAATATGTATTTTACACATTAATATCGACCATTCTGTACAAATAATTAATATAAGGGGGAAAAATGCCCCATAAAATTAAAACAAAAATATGCTATGCCTTTATGTTTAAAAAATCATAAATACACTTACTAACATTCGCTATGAGCAAAAATTCTGTTGAACATGGTAAAATTAACCGTTAAAATTCAAAAAATAATTAATAGACCTAATATTATAAGTTAAGCAAAAATCACTTCGGACTCAAACAGGGTAAAATTAACCCTTAAAAATTAAAAAAATAATTCCCCTACAAAGGCGATAAATGTCCTACTTGTTTTTACATTAAAAAATCATAAGTAAACAAACGTGAAATAACCCTTATATTAAAAATAAATATTTACCCTGGAATTGCGATCAAATTCCAACTTGATTTTACATTCAAAAAATAATAAACTCACCTACCAACATACACTGTAAACGAAAATCCCTTCGAACCTGGCAAATAGTGTGAATTTAACCCTTTAAAATTAAAAAAATAATAACCATTTAAAGGCAACTGTGTTCCCGGCTGAACTAATAGCCATACAACACTGTGCAAGAGAAATACTAAATTAGCAAGTATCAGGTAAACCTATTGCCATATACTCTGATAGCCAAGCAGCTCTAAAGGCAATTCTCTCACCAGAAATCAAATCATGACTGGTGAAAGACTGTCTAGAAGACCTGACATAGCTAAGTAGTCAAAACAAGGTGACCCTAGCCTGGGTGCCAGGCCATGAGGGATATCAGGGCAACGAAAAAACCGACGAATTAGTCTGAGAAGGCTCAGATAAGGCCATGACAGGCCCAGAAGCCTTCTGTGGAGTTGCTAAGGCATCCATTAAACAATGGATGCAAAAAGAGTATCAGGAATGGCGGAACGACTATCCAAGACTGAGACAGGCCAAACAGTTCATCAAGGAACCATCAGCCAAGTTCATGAAAGATCTACTGGATCAAAAGCGTCAAATCGTTAGGATAACAGTATGTCTTCATGCTGGACACTGTCGCCTTAAAAGGCACATGAATCCATGAAATTAACCCTAAACTAACTCCAAAAAATAAGGCGATCAAATTCCTACTTGCTTTTGCATTCAAAAAATCATAAATACACTAAAAATTAGCCCTTAAAATTTAAATTAAATAATTATCCTATGAAGGCGATCAGATCCCAACTAGACATTAAAAAAATCAAAAATAAGCTTACTAAACGAAAAAAGGATTTTCGTTTAAATTGTTTTTTAGTAAGTAGATTTTTGATTTTTTTTTAAAATCTGATCGCTTTCATAGGGTAATTATTTATTTTGAAGATTATGGGTTAATTTCACCCTGTTTGACGGGTTCGAAGGGATTTTCACTTGCAGTGTATTTCAGTAAGTGTATTAATGACAGTCAGACAGCCCTTAAAGCACTAAAAAGGGTAGAAGTACAATCTAAATCAATACTTGATTGCCAACAGTCCCTCCAGGTCCTGGCAGAACAAGGTTACCCTTGAATGGATGCCGGGACATGAGGGAGTGTTTGGAAACGAGAAAGCAGACCTCCTAGCAAGGAACAAACTTTTATTGGATCAGAACCCACATGTGGTATCTCATACCAATATGTTAAATGGGTATTAAAGGAACAAACAAATAGAGAACACCATAGGCTCTAGTTGGAACTTCCTGGACTTAGACAGTCCAAAACATTCATAGGGGGGCCATCCACAAGCAGACAAAATCAACTGCTAAACCTCAGCAGAAGCGAACTCCTTACGGGACACTGCGGCCTTAGAAGACACCTAAATCTCTTAGGAATATCTGATGACTCCCTATGTAGAATATGTGAAGAGGAGGACGAAACTACTATTCACATACTATGCCACTGTCGTAACCTTAAATGGGGATATTGTACTTCGGAGTACAATTTTCGGAACCTGAAGAAATCGCGAAAGCGCCCATCAGACATACTCTTGAATTCATCAAGAAAATCAATCTGATGGGATAGAAACTGAGAGGGGTACAATAAGCCTAGAGCTTCACTACGAGTAGGCTTTGAACCACGCCCTAATTCAGATAGATAGAAGTGTATTTATAATTTTTGAATGTAAAATGAAGTTGGGATGTAATCGTCTTTATAGGTAATTATGTATTTTGAAGTTTAAGGATTAATTTCACCATGTTTGACGGGTCCGAAGGGATTAATAATAGCCTTTTTACCATTAAAAAATATATGTGGGCATAAACCATAACATTGGGATTTAAAAGATACATTAAGAAAAAAGAGTAACAATTGATTTTTCTTTTCTGGCCTGATATTTTAATTTTTCGTCAGTTAGATAGCGTAGTATTTTTATATTACCTTCATTTTGAGTTTACTAATAAAATATAACAGTTATATAAATTTTTTTTCAGATCTTCCGATTCACTCGAGTGGAGGGGTGGAGCCCACTGACATTAAACAAGTTTCGCCCAATTCAACCATGGTCTTCATCAAAAGATGTTATAAGTTCCATCTGGGTAGCAGTGGAAAACCGATGATATGTACTTTTTATGGCCAGTTTTTGAGATATGAGGTATGACATTTGGTAATGACTGGTCTGAACAATTATTGTAATTTTGATAAATTAAATCGAGGATATTTTAGAGTGATATTAATTTTTAAAATAACCCCATGCTAGAATTAAAATAAAAACCCCATTTTCAGCTATTTTTGACGGAAATGAGGGGAATTCCGTATGATAAAGATATGATAGAAACATATTCGACCTACTTTCAGTCATTTCCAGTCTCAAGCATAGCTCTGCATAACTTCTTATCTTCAAGAAAGAATGGAATGGTGTTCATTATTTTCTGTTGAGTCTGTTTGGTTTCGTTCTCATAAGATGTCCATACCATACTTAGAAATCTTAAACATATATCTTTGCATAACTTCTTATCTCTTGCCTTTGAGAGTATGTTTGGTTTCATTCTCATGAGATGTCCTTACCATACAAAAGTCGTATGAAACAAAGAGAAAAGTATATCTATGGTAACAGAGTAATAGATACTTACTTGAACTTGTTGATGAAAATCGAAGAAATTGTTTCACAAAAAACTAAAAATGTTACCATTATCATCTAGTTTAGTGCGTTATACATAAGACGATTTATAGTATTAAATTCATAAAAAAATCATCAAAGTTTGGATGCGTTTCTATACAAAGTTCTATAGAAACAACAATACAGTTCACAATTAAATCAAATATTTTATCTTTCTTCCTAGTCAGATTTCTCAAACAATATTTACTATACCCATTGTAGTTCATTTTAAAGAGATAAGGTAAAAAAAATCAGTCCTGGATTAATTTATTTTTACAGGAAATGTGTATTTTATATGAGATAAAATTACCAGGTTAAGTAAAAACATATAAGGTTTCATCATTATGCTTCATTGGCTTCTGTATCTATTTCATTCCTGTACATATTACGATTGAAAACTTTGCTGGCAGTAGTTCTGAATTAAACTACCAATATATGCATGTTAGTGATCGGACAGTGAATTTTCTAGAAAAGGTTAGTGTTTTTTTTTATATCCCATAACAATTTAATTAATAAATAATAGTTAAAAGCATTATACAAGAATAGAAGGGTTAATTTTGATTTTTGCTAAACATTTTGATATAACAAGTTGATATTATTTTTTGTTTTTGAGTTAGGTTTTTAAATATTTAAACCCCCCTTAACCACCCCATTTTTATTCAGATTTTTTTTAAATTAATAGGCTTCGATCCATTATAGAGCTTGGTTTTTCTTGAAATTTTCAAGTTGATATTATTTTTCGTTTTTACTTATCGTGCGGACAAAAAATGTTACATCGGACGGACATTTTTGATGAGAAGGATTTTAGTACAAACATTTTTAAATTTTGACCAATAATAAACAGTTTGGTTTTTTGAAAACCTATAATACTCTTCACGATTATTTAATCTATTTATGGCACTTGAATTCAGAGAGACTCTAGTTGGCAAATTCACAGTTTAGCTAGGATAGCTGTATCGTCAGCATAAGTAGTGATCGTCACAAGTGTACAACAAGTAAAACACTGGTCCTAGAACATTACCTTGTGGGATATCTGCGTTAATATCTTTTATTGTAGAAAATTTTTCCTGTTCTTTGACATAAAATACTCTACCAGTAATACATAAGATTTTAAAATCTCAGTACATTGTTTTAGTAACATTTTCTCCAGTTTGTTAATTAGTGTTTCTTGTCAAACCTGGTTAAATGCATGGGCTACATCCAAAAATATTTCTGAACATATTTGCTTTTCCTTGTAGACTTTTTCAATTAGATTTTTAATACAAGCATGCTGTCCTATTTTGGAAAGTTTACAGCTCATTCAAAGTTGTCATACATCCTAAAATACATAATACTAACCTCGTAGCAATAAAAGTATAGTTTAAAATAATTTTATTTCAGAATAAAAATGGCACAACCTTCAGAACGGACAAGGCTTTTAATTGACATGAACCCGCCTGAACATATGTTTAATTCTGGCATTTCAAGAGAACGTAAACAAAGGGTCAGGCAATTTCAATGTTGCTTGTGTGCCATAATTTTGTAAGTATCACAAAATATTTTTTTAAAACAATTTTAACTATATTACATCTACGCCATTGCTATCCACCAAATATCATAAATTATAACGATCTACTGTACCTGCTACCCCGAATGTGTGACGAAATAATAGTTAATTGGAGTAATTTCTATATATAACTAATAATATATCAAATATAATCCATATTGATATCATACTCAATTATTACAATAAACTCGTTGACCCAAGACTTCATTAATGCCTAATTCTACTTATGTTTGCACTAATACAACTACATTAAGCTTTTGATAACCTAAAACTGTTCCTCTATTTTTAATACCTCTAAACTCATACATTCTACAAAATAGATATATTGTAATCTTTATTTACAGATCACTTTTTATAATAACATTAGGGATAACTGTAGTATACAGTATAAACCAAGAATTTCCAGATAACTCCACAGATGTAACCAACTCGAGTGACATCACAGTCCAAACACCAGTTCTAGTACTGCTATCACACAGTTTTCCATTACGAGATGGTAAACAGGAAAATAGAACATTGGATGACGATGAACTGTGGAAAGAAGCCATCGAAGAAGGAGAAAGAAGTTTAGAAGAAAAAGATAGAATTGAAGAGCATGTACCATCCTTGTTACTCAGAAGTCCGAGTTACAGACATCAACGCGTTACAGCTACAAGTGAAAAAGGAAGGAATATGTCTAGGCTTGGATTCATTGAGGAATACGCCACAAGACACATGCATAGGTACCAATTTTTCAGTTTTCGACTTTTATTTTTTTTTAAATTCCTCTTCTATCTTTAACAGGAATAAAACCGATGTTCGCTTGGTGGACATGATTTGCCAAAATGGGAGTAACTTCCTAGGTGATCATTGTGAAAACAAAAAAATAGATTGTAATCTATTTCATAAATATCGCACATTCAATGGAAGCTGTAACAATATTAAAAATCCTCATTCTTTTGGAGTAGCTTACACTCCTTTCAGAAGAATGCTACCTCCAGATTACACTGATGGTAAGTATTTTCTTAATATTTTAAATATAACCACCTGGTCGCTTCTTGAATCGCTTAAAGCTCGAGTTTTATTACAACCCTCCCCTTTGTGATATTCATAAAAAGTTACTTACTTTAATAGGGCTAGCATTGCTTATGTAGAAATATTGAGCCGATGCGTCAGGACGTGGAAGAGTCGAGACGTACAAGGATCGAGGCGTAGATGCGTCGGGTAGGAGATTTAATTTAGACTGAATTTTGAATAAAATTGAATAATGAGTTCTACGGGGTTGGATACCTATTTATAGTAATTTTTTATCAAAAGCTATTATTTTCAACGATGTGGTGGATGACATTTGGCTAGGATTTGGTATTCATCAAATTTTATCTTTATGGTTATAACTTGTGTTGATTTTTCGAGTCGAATTCCTGAACAGACCACGAATTTACTCAGGGTTAGTACTAGAATGTCACGAAGCTTTGGCCGAAGTATCCATCAACAATGTGGTCACTTTAAGATGGATCAAAGGTCACATCACATCGAAAGGTAACCGTCTTGCTGATTCACTAGCTAAGAAAACAGCCAACCAAATACTCTTTGAACCTGGCCCTTCTATTGGTCTGACAAAATCGGTAGTGATAGACCTAATCAAAGAACATTCCCTTGTGAAATTCAAGGAAAGATGGGATGAAACAAGAAACTGCAGAGTTGTCAGCAAACAAATACTTGACTATGACTAGACAGAATCTGCGCCTAGTCACAGGCATTCTGACTGGTCATTGCCAAGTACGAAAGCATCTCCATATTATGGGGATGTCAGAATCTGCACTCTGCACAGAAGAAGATGAGACCATCGAGCATATCCTTTACGATTGCTCGACGCTCTCATTTATTTGAAGATTTGTGTTCGGCGAGTATCGGCTTACACCGGCCGATATAAGAGAAGCACCTCTCGGCAACGTTGTCAACTACATTAAATCTGTAGGCTGCCTCACGAGCTAGGAAGTGCCTATCATCTCAGGAGGATGCACAATGGGCCTAATGAGGCCTAAGTGCCGTGGGGGTAACCCACCCTCCACACTTTACAGATACAGAGATCTCATTTAGTCACAATTAGTTATTAATTCCAAAAACATTGTGTTTGTTGTTTTCCATAAACTTTCTGTCAACTTTTGTATAATGTTCGCCTCTTTACATTTATTCTGAAATATTTTGTAATTTTAAATTTCCTTAAATTTTATTACTTTATTGTATAACTATTATTTCATAATTTTTTTGACTTACTATTTTCATTTTTATTTAACTATTTTTTTATTGCACTAACCACTATTTATTTATACATATCTTGTGACAGGGCTGTTGTGGTTGAACGGGATTGGCTTCAGCTAGAATTCGTCAGAGGTGCCATGTGTAATTTATATTTGTTTGTTTTGAAATAAAGTCGTTTATTGTTATTGTCATTAAATAAATTGAAAACAAAATCATAAAATTCTCATTCAAAATGAAAAAATAAAATAATAAGATCATGAAGTATAAAATGTAATACACTAAATAATAATAATAATAATAAAAAAACAACAAAGCCATTGATAGATTGGTCTAAAATCTCAATAATCTTCCGATATGGACCGTATTATATTATTAAAAAAATAATTAATGTTTAATATTTTTTTATACTTTTTATGCGATATCAGTTTTTCTACAAAAATTTTAGTTTTCTGTGTCATCGATTATTGTTTAGAATTTGGCGCTCTTTATCTAGAGAAGTTGCGCTAAAAAAGTTCAGCGCCATTTTTCTAGAGAAATAGCGCGAAAACATAGAGAATTATTATGCTTGAATGAACAAAAGGGTGTATATAAACGGGTTATTCCTCCCAAATCGTCAGTTTATTTTTGTGCTTAGTTCAAGATGTTTCGTTTACTACCAGTTATTGTTGCTTCCTGTTTCGAGTTAGTACCGCTTCCTATGGAGATGTGGTCCAACGTTCTTCGGTAAGTATCTTACTTAATTTTGAAATGAAATATTTATTAGGTATCAACTAACTCTTCATTGTATTAATATTTAAATTATTTTTCAGATTGTTAGATCCTATGACATTACTGTCTGCTGTTAGATCTTCACCAAAGTGGAAGAATGTCTGTCTAGGAGACCGTATTTTAAAGAAGAAACTTAAATCTGCTTCGAACATTGAAGTAAAACTTGCTAAAGAATTGATTTGTAATCCAGGAAAGTTTGTTTCTGTATCCAGAACAGAACCAAAGATAATGTTTGGGATGAATGTGGCAAAGAAAATTTCGAGAAAACCAAATCCCATTGCTTCGGATCCAATTCAGATAATTTTAACGGAGAATTTGAAACACAGACGTCAAAATCATGTTGTAAAAAATACTAAGAAATTTGTGTCTTGTAGAATATAATTTTTTTTTAAATAAATAAATCAATAAAAGATTATTTTATAAAAAAATAAAAATATCTTTTGTTGACAAATTAAAAAAAAAGTTTATTTTTTTCATTTAATTTTCAACATAATTGTATTTTTAATAATTATTATAAATAAATAAAATAAATTTTCTTATTGTTACAAATTCTTTCACACTGCTTCTTATGTAGGTATATACATTCTTTTTTTAATTATTATTAAATGTACATAGGTTTCTTGTATTTTTTTATTGTAAATTTTTCTAATTTTGTGCATTTTTTATTTATTAAAATATATTAATGTTAACAATGTCTCATATAGTCACAATTAGTTATTAATAATAAAAAAATTGGGTTTGTTATTTTTTATAAACCTTCTGTCAACTTTTAAATAATGTTCGCCCCTTTACAGTTATTCTAAAAGTTTTTGTAATTTTTAATTGTCTTCAATTTTGTTACTTTATTGTCTATTGTTTTATAATTATTTTTACTATTCTCATTTTTATTTAACTTTTATTTTAATCGTGAATACTTTACACATTTTTTGTTATTTATTAAAATATATTAATGTTAACAATGTCTCGTGTAGTCACAATTAGTTATTAATTTAAAAAAAAATAAGTTTGTTTTTTATAAACCTCCCCTCAACTTTTGTATAATGTTCGCGTTTTTACATTTATTCTGAAAATTTTTGTTCTTTTCAATTTTATTTTATTCTACAACTATTGTTTGATAATTATTTTTACTACTGTCATTTTTATATAACTATTTTTTTATCGCTTTATTGAACTAACCATTATTTTTTTACACATATCTTGTGACATAACCGTTGTGGTTCAGTAGGATTAGCTTCAGCTAGACTTCGTCAGAGGTGGCGTGTGTAATTTATAATCGTTTCTTTTGAAATAAAGTAGTTTATTTTTATTATCATTATATAATAAATTGAAAACAAAATCATAAAATTCTTATACATATTGAAAAAGGAAATAATGAGATCATAAAGTATAAAATGTAATGTACTAAATAATAAAAAAACAAAGCGGACACAAGATAAAAAATCTTTTTCTTTGCTTTCCGCAAAAAATTAAAAAAATTTGCTAAAATTGTATATACTAGTATGCTCGGGTGAAAATTTCACTTACTCAAGATTTGTTGATGCTAAGATTAGATTAACCATACTAAGAAAACCCTGTGCACTCTAGGTTTCCATTAATACCGTTAATAGATTGGTGTAAAATCTAAATAATCTTCCTATATGGGCCGTAATTGGTTATATTATTAATTAAAATAATTAATTTTTAATATTTTTTTACTTTTTATGCGATATCAAAAATTCTTTCACACTTTTTCGTGTTTAATGTTGACAATGTCAATTATATAAATACAAGATTTCCTTGTATTTTCTCTACTCTAAATATACAAATTTTTAACCCTTTCTCTACAAAAATTTTTAAAGTTTTCTGTGTCATCGATTATTGTCTAGAATTTAGCGCCCTTTTTCTAGAGAATTAGCGCTAAAAAAGTTCAGCGCCATTATTCTAGAGAATTAGCGCGAAATCATAGAGGATTATTACGCTTGAATGAACAAAAGGGTGTATATAAACGGGGCGATCCTCCCAAATCGTCAGTTTATTTTTGTGCTTAGTTCAAGATGTTTCGTTTACTACCAGTTATTGTTGCTTCCTGTTTCGAGTTAGTACCGCTTCCTATGGAGATGTGGTCCAACGTTCTTCGGTAAGTGTCTTGCTTAATTTTTAAATACAATTTTTATTATTAACCAACTTTTCATTGTATTAATATTTAAATTATTTTTCAGATTGTTAGATCCTATGACATTACTGTCTACTGTTAGAGCTTCACCAAAGTGGAAGAATGTCTGTCTAGGAGACCGTATTTTAAAGAAGAAACTCAAATCTGCATCGAACATTGAAGTAAAACTTGCTAAAGAATCGATTTGTAATCCAGGAAAGTTTGTTTCTGTATCCAGAACAGAACCGAAGATAATGTTCGGGATGAATGTAGCAAAGAAAATTTCGAGGAAACCAAATCCCATTGCTTCGGATCCAATTCAGATAATTTTGAAGGAGAATTTGAAAAACAGACTTGAAAATCGTGTTGTAAAAAATACTAAGAAATTTGTGTCTTGTAGAATATAATTTTTATTTAAATAAATTAATATATGATTAAATTATAAAAAAAAATTAAAATATTTTTTGTTGACAAATTAAAAAAAATGTTTATTTTTTCTTTTAATTTTCAACATAATTATATTTTTAATAACTATTATAAATAAAAATTTTTATTGTCACAAATTCTTTCATACTGCTTCTTATGTGTATACCTACATTCTTTTTATAATTATTATCAAATGTAGTTAAATATAAATAAAACATTTTCTTGAATTTTTTTTTAATCGTAAATACTTTTTCCTAATTTTGTGCATTTTTTTTATTTATTAAAATATATTAATTTTAACAATGTCTCATGTAGTCACAATTAGTTATTAATTCTATAAAAATTGGGTATGTTGTTTTTTATAAACCTTCTATAAACCTATAAACTTTTGTATAATATTCGCCTGTTTACATTTATTCTGAAAGT